GCTTATCTGACTCATCCAATCATGAGAGGACAAAGTCAACACCCATCCTGGATACTCCTCCCCCCACTATGAGAAGAGGCGTATCAGGTAAGTACCAACGCCCTTTCTCTGTCAATCGGCTCGTCACAAGAGGCCATCACAACAGAAACCCAATATTTTTACTGTTGCCTTTGTTATGTTTGTTTTTTTTAATTTATCAGCACAAATAAACACACACACACACACACACACACACACACACACACACATATATATATGCAAGTATTATGAGCAAGCAAGCTTATGAACCCTCTATAAAATCATATGTGATCTGCTCTAGCTAAGCCATTTGCTTTTCAATTACTGGACATGATTAGTTCAGAGTCAAGGTTCTGTAATGCATATGAGCTCTAAGGTAAAGAATATCTTTAATAAACCCTTGTTACTAAAAGACATATATTACTGGTTGGTTTACTTATTTTATTGCTTTATTTACTTTATTGCCAACATTTTGGAAGATAAAGATTCAGAAGGATCGTGACAGACTTTAGGATGGGCCCTATCCAACAAGATGCAGTTCAGTGGTGAGAAAAGTTAAGGTCCTGCACCTAGACAGGAATAAACAAATACATAGGTATAGAGTAGGCGGTACCTGGCTCAATAGTAGTAACAGAGAGAGAGAGAGAGATCTAGTTATCCTTATGGATCACTGTTAAATATGAGTAAGCAATGTGCTACAACTGCCAAAAAAAGCCAATGCAGTTCTAGGCTGCATCAACAGAAGGATAGCACCAAGATCACAGGAAGTGATAGTACCGTTGTATGCTGCTCTAGTGAGGTCACATCTGGAATACTGCATCCAGTACAAAAAAGATGTTGAGGCCCTAGAAAGAGTGCAGAGAAGGGCAACAAAAGACGATAAGGATCTTAAGACTAAATCCTAAGATGAACAGCAAAGGGAACTAAGTATACTTAGCCTAATGAAGAAAAGGCTTGGAGAGACATGATGACAGTCTTCCAATACTTGAAGGGCTGTTACAGAGAAGGGAGGATTGATTTATTCTCCAATAGCACCTGAGGGCAGGATAAGAAGCAACAGGTGAAGATGTCAATGGGAGATTCAACGTGAAAATAAGGAAGAATTTCCTGACAAGGGAGAACTATTAATCAATGGAACAGTTTGCCTCCCAGAGTTGTTGATGCTGCATCACTGAAGTTTTTTTTTTTTTAAAGATTGGACAACCATTTGTCTGGGATGGTATAAGAACTCCTGCCTTAAGCAGGGGGTTGGACTAGAACAGGGGCAGTGGTGGGTTCCGGATACCGTTCCAATCGGTACACATGTGCATGCATCTTAGCACCTCCGCAAGCCTCTGCAACGCTCCAGCTACTCCGCAGAGTGTTGCGCAGGCACTGTACGCACCATGCGCGGAAGCCTTAAAAGACAGGGCCCTCCTGAGCACTGTACCGGAATGGTATCCGGTGCTCCGGGTAGGCTCCGGTACGCCTGTACCGGGGCATACCGCCTACAACCCACCACTGAACAAGGGTCACCAACCTTGGCAACTTTAAGACTTGTGGACTTCAACCTCCAGAGTTCCTCAGCCAGCTTTGCTGAATTCTGGGAGTCTTAAAGTTGCCAAGGTTGGAGACCCCTGGACGAGAAGACCTAGGTCCCTTCAGCTTTTTGATTTCATGATTTTATGGAATTAAACCAGCCCAATAGTCATTGGAACATACACAGCAATTAACATGCATGCAATAAAGCCACAGTTGGAAATTTGCAATTGTCCTTGATATATCTAAAAATGAGTCACTTAGATAGGATTTTTCTATAACTGGAAAGCTTCCTCACTCAAAACTGCTCTGTCTTGCTGGGATTGAATTTAAGCCAGTTTTGTCTCTAGGCTGTAACAGCCTCCAGGACATAGGGACAAGTTCTCAACGGCATCTTCTGTTTAGGCCATAGCTGAGATATAAAGCTGAGTATTATATTTACAACACATGACTCCATGCAGATGTTAAACAAGAAGAATGAATACATCAAGATACAAGAGTTTCTCATGGACTATACATTTGCTTATTATAAATATGCATAATTTAAGAACTAAGAAAGATATAAATTATGAGTACCAGATTGTTTTGGCAGACTGATCTTATTCAGGTGAAATAGAGGATGACCTTTTGAAGCTGAAGCTGGATTTTATTAATTCAAATGTATTCAATTTGTATAGCCACACATCTCAGATTTGCAACTCTGAGCAGCTCACATATTAAAAACAACCACATAACACAATCAAAAAGCAAAAACGCAATAACTCTTAAAACCAAATGAAAAAACCTAATTGAAAGTAAAAAAATAAATTTTTAAAAAGGATTTTATAAGTGCAAGGATTTCAATGTATGGTTTCCAATTCCATATTTTGTAATAATAAATACAATTTTTAATATTTATAGTGCTTAACTCAAATTGCATATATTATTGCTATCATATATTCTTTATGCAGGAAAACATACCTCTGGACTGTTGAGAAATCTCAGGCAAAACTGGCTTGTGTTATCAATACTGTGGTTATCTAAAAAAAAGACAGCCCTGATTTTTAAAACCCAGAAAAATAAAAAGCAAAGACAAAATTCCAGTGCAATTACTAGTTACTATGGTTGCCATCATTAGCTGAAAACAATTCTGGCAATTTCTACTCCTCATACATGTATCTATGTATCTCAGGTTTCTTTGTGTGTGCATAATGTATTCCTATGTATGCTATTCCTACAAGTCATTCTTAAAACATGGAAAGATCAGGGTGTCCAAATAATTGAATTAATATTGGCTGATTAAAATAAATTGGCTAGAAAACAACAAACCCCATCAGGCTGGCTTATCTGGCTGCTTATCTTGTGTAATGACTCTAGGCAGCTCACAAAGATCCATAAAAACACAGCTAAAATCAGAAGTAGTCTTTCCCTTCATGCCCCAGACTGAGCAGCCTTCCAGTTCAACCCACACCCTAGTCCAGGGATGGCTAACCTTTTTCTAAAAAATTGTGTGTGTACACGCACTGTTGCGGATCCGTGCCCACCCACCTGTGCATGCATGCATGACCCCCCATGCATGCATGTGTGAACCCCCCCAACAGGGGGAAATTTCACCCTCCAGGCTCCAGAAGCTTTCCTGAAGCCTGGGGAGGGTGAAAATCATCCCCCCCCCCCAGGAAAGCCTTCAGAGCCCAAGGAAGTTGAAAAACAGGCCCAACGGGCCAACTGGAAGTTTGAACAAACTTCTGATTGGCCTGTTGAGCTGGTTTTCACCCTTCCCAGGCTTTAGGAAAGCCTCTGGAGCCTGGGGAGGGCAAAAAACAGCTGGAACGAGCTTCTGGTTGGCCCATTGGGCCTGATTTTCACCCTCTCTAGGCTCCAGAGGCTTTCCTGAAACCTGGGGAGGGCAAAAACAGCCTTCCCCAGTCCTCCGGAAAGCCGGAAATCAGCTGGCCAGGTGCACGTGTGCGCTGGAAGGAAGGGTTGTTGTGCCGGCAAATATGGTTCCATGTGCCACCTGTAGCACGTGTGCCATAGGCTCGCCATCACAGCTCTAGTCCAATGTTAGGGGGGTAAACAAGGTGAAAGACTCAAACAGAAGAGATCTCTTGTATCTCAGGAGGGTGGCTACTCCAAGAGCTTGGGCAGCTATCAGGTAGCAGCATTTAAGAAAGGAGCCCTGGAGCATGCTCACCTACCTAACCTTGTACCCTGTTTCTTCAAAAATAAGACCTATCCTGATAATAAACCCTAGCATGTTTTTCCATATGTGCTTAATATAAGTCCTACCCCCAAAATAAGCCTTACTTGTGAGCCTGCGCAGCCAACCAGCGCCCATTCAGTCTGGTTACAGTGCTGCAGCCATGAGGTGAGGCGGGGAGATGGAGCTGCGTCCCACACAAGCTTACCTCGGAGCCCCGGACAGCCAGACCATCCACGCCCCATCAGTTGCCTTATGGCAGCACCAGCACGTGTGCAGCAGGAGCCCATGTGACTTCTAGCCCACTTCCACTTGCTCGCAGCCGCAACAGAGCAGGACGCCTGGCAGTGTGCTGGTGCCAGAGCTGAGAGGCGAGGCAGGTGCCAAGGCGTGGGTAGCCTGTCTATGGGGGCCCTGAGGTAAGCCACTGCATGGCATGTGGGGCAGCTCCACCCCCGCCTTGTGGCAGCGGGACTGGCACAGTGCGGGGCCTCCTGTCCCACTATGAGCAAGCAGAAGAAATGGGCCTCACATAAATAGGGAGGAGGAAATAAGACACCCCAAAAATAAGCCCTGGTGCTTATTTTGGGGCCCAAAAGAAAATAAGACTCAGTAGGAGGTGGTAGATAATGGTCTCTCCGCTCCTACCTGTGTTTCCCCGAAAATAAGACTCGGTCTTATTTTCAGGGAAACACAGGTAGGAGCGTAGATGCCATTAGCGAGATGCAGTCCCACAACTAACCTTGGTCTGTGCCTTGTGGAGCTTGAAAGATGATAATCAGTATCTTGAATTGGATCTAGAAAGTGCGATTATCTGGAGAAATTGCTAGATGCTCAAAACTTGACTTGCCCCTGCATTGTGAACCAGTTATTGCTTCCAGATATTAAGTAAGAGCAATTAAATTGCAATAATCCATATGCTTGGAGCATCCTTTTGTGATTGAAATGGTTTTTAGGATAGAACAACATCCATACCTATAATTTCACACTTTGGTTTACAAGCCAGATTTTGAATCCACTTCTAATTTTTGTTGGCCAGCTACCTACAATTGTTATTTGACTCCATTGGAACTGTTCTATTTTATTTATGACCCTATTATTATTGATTTATTGTTGACTATTACTCAGGGTTCTGTGCAATCTCATAGTCTACAATTATGTCTTCAAACTTATTTTGAAAATAGGTCAAAGGAAATGTTGCATTAATCCCCTTTTTCATGTTATTGTTTTTGCTCTTTTTAATAGTTTTCACTGAAATTTTATTTGTATTTTATTTTTATTGCAGTTGTCTACCTTGTGATTTTTCATCTGTCATTTGTTATGTTTGCGTGGTCCTATTGGCAGACTATTTTTACATCTCCAGCCTCCCCCTCCAATGAGGTAAATGTTATCATTGGCAAAATTATGCAGTTTTTACTATTGAATTGTTTGTTATACTAATGCTTGCTTTAAAATAAGATTTGTTAAGTTTTCTTTCTGTTTAGTTTTTCTGTTCCAATTTAATAAATTATATTGCAGTGTTTCACCCTCTTTTTTGAGAGAAAAAGGTGCATCTTATACTCCCAAAAATATGGTACATACAAAAGTTGTTTTGAAGCTAGCCATCTACTTAGATTGGAGCTACAATTTTGTACAGTCACTTTTTATGGAATGCATAGACCATGTTATCATCCTGTTGAATTGAAATGCTTTACACATTATGGCATCTTGTCTTAAAATATAAGCGCAGTGCTCAGCTTGTCAGTGTGGCTTGGCAAAGTATTGAGATTTTCCAGGGCTTCAGTCTCATGCTTTTATTTAGGGGGTTCATTACTGCATCATTCCTGAATTGCCTTCATCGTCCAATTCTTGATCCCTGTGGGCAAGTGAGGGTTTAATGAGTGGAATCCTGTTTCCAGCCAACCAGCGCAAATGTTCATTATATAAATTTGAACAGTGCAATTTCCATCTGTCTAGATCACTGCACATTTTATGTGACAGTCACGATTGCTGAATCCTCCAGAAGTACAGATAATGTAATTAACATGCATTTATAATTACCAGATGTCATATACCTAGTAATAATGTAGAGTGGTAGGTGATACGTTTGTACAGTACTAAAGAGATGAAAGGGAAAATAGATTTTTGGTTAGGATAATATACATTATCTGTTTGGTGACACAAACTAGCCAGCTCTTTGATTTTGGATTGATATTTCTTGGAATTAATAATGTATAAAAATTCTGTACCTATCATCTAAATATAAGTTAGCAGATGCTAAATATAATTAGCAGGCAACAAACCTGCTTTTCTCCTTTTATGCAGTTTGGCTTATCAAAAACTGATAAGGAACAATATGAAAAAGAAGAGAGACCAGAATCTCAGCAGGAAATTCTAAGAAGAGCTGCTAAAGATCTGCCCGTCTATACGACAACAACCTCAAGAGGTAAGCCATTGGCGTTGTCTTCCCTGGACTTGCACCAGATGTGTTATCTTTATTTCTACCTCCACAGACAGATTTTCCAAAATAAAACAATCATTCTTCCTGATATCTTAAAGCCCTACATGGCATCGGACCTGGCTACCTGAGAGACCGCCTCCTGCCAATTACTTCCCACAGACCTATTAGATTGCACAGGTTAGGCATCCTCCGGATTCCATCGGCCGGTCAATGTCAGCTGGCGACCCCCCCGGGGGGAGGGCCTTCTCTGTAGCTGCTCCGGCCCTCTGGAACAATCTCCCCATTGAGATCCGGACCCTTACTACCCTTCCGGCCTTCTGCAAAGCGACTAAGACCTGGCTGTTCCGGCAGGCCTGGGGCTGTTGAATTATACAGCCCCATTCTAAGTTATGAATGTTGTCGCAATTTTAAAATGTTGTTTTTATTTTTATATCCCCCTTCCCTTTTTATTGTAAGCCGCCCTGAGTCTTCCGAGAGTGGGTGGCATACAAAACTAAATAATAATAATAATCATCATTATTATTATTATTATTATTATTATTATTATTATTATTATTATTCACGCATATTACGAAAATACGTTACGACGTCCTAGG